AGGCCACCAGTGAGCACGTGTGTGCGATCAGGTGTGGGACGGGTATCAGTGAGCACGTGTGTGTGATCAGGTGTGGGACGGGCATCAGTGAGCACGTGTGTGCGATCAGGTCTATGGGAAGGCCACCAGCGAGCACATGTGTGCAATCAGGTCTGTGGGAAGGTCACCAGTGAGCACGTGTGTGTGATCAGGTGTGGGACGGGTATCAGTGAGCACGTGTGTGCGATCAGGTCTGTGGGAAGGTCACCAGTGAGCACGTGTGTGCGATCAGGTGTGGGACGGGCAGTGTGAGCACATGTGTGCGATCAGGTGTGGGAAGGTCACCAGTGAGCACGTGTGTGTGATCAGGTGTGGGACGGGCATCAGTGAGCACGTGTGTGCGATCAGGTGTGGGACGGCAGCGTGAGCACATGTGTGCGATCAGGTGTGGGACGGCAGCGTGAGTATTCCTGCACGTGTACACGCGTGTCTGATCACACACGTGACGGGTACACACGTGCAATGGACATACGTGACAGCTGGACGGTGAGGCAGCACAAGGCCATGGTGGGTAGAGCCGTGACTCTGCCGGGACTGGCCTCCGTGTGCCTCCGTGTGGCCGTGGAGGAGCCACAACAGGTGGGCCCCGTGTCTGCCGCCCGCCAGGCCTGCCCTGCCACAGCCCCCCTCCGCGGGCACTACCTGCACGGAGTTCTTCCCCAGGGCGACCATCTCAAAGAGGGTCACCTCTGTGGTGATGGCCACGTTCTTCCTGCGGTGCTTCCGTGGCGGCCGCCCTCGCCGGCGGGTGCCGGGTCCGCTGGCATCCTGGCCCCCCGAGGGCGCTCCCTGTGCCTAAAACCAAAGGAGGCCGTGACGGGGCTGCACCCCACCCCGGAAGCCCGGTGTCCGAGAGATGGGCAAGGACGTGGCCCTGGGCCGGTACACGGAGCGCTGTCCAGTGCAACATGGTTGACGAGAACGGGGGCCACACAGGAGAGACCCCACGGCACACCTGGGCGTGCCCCTCCCCCACCACGTCTTCATGGCCTTTGTATCCAACAGATCTGGGCTCCACAGGGCCTCCCCTGCACCAGCCAGAAGCCGTCCCTGCTCACCTGAGACAATGGGCGGGGAGTGGGGCTTCCCACCTGGAAGGGGAGCCCCTAGAAGGGAGAGCAGGGGGACAGACCCTCCACCCCAGGCAGGAGGCCTCAACGCCATGGCGCAGGGAGGGGACACTGAGCCCGATGCAAGGAAGTGGACGCCGTGTCTGTGGATGGGGAGGGGACGCAGCGTCTCAGGACAGGGAGGGGACAGAAGATGCCGTGTCTCAGGACAGATATGACACGGTGTCTCAGGATGGGGCGGGGGACATGGTGTCTCAGGATGGGCCAGGGGACGCCCTGTCTCAGGACAGAGATGATGCCGTGTCTCAGGATGCGGCGGGGGACGTGGTGTCTCAGGATGGGGCAGGGGACACCGTGTCTCAGGACAGGGAAGGCACGCAGTGTCTCAGGACAGGGATGGGACACCATGTCTCAGGGCAGGGAAGGCATGGGGTGTCTCTGGACTGGGGGGCGGGGGGTGGGGGGACCACACAGTATTTGAGAACAGAAGAAGGGATGCCGTGTCTGTGGATGGGGATGAGAATGAAGCCCTCGAGGACAGGGGAGGGGACACTGTGGCTGAGGACAAAGGAGGGGACCCGGTGTCTCAAAATGGGGAGGGGACGCGGTGTCTGAGGACAGCAGATGGGACGCGGTGTCTGAGGACATAGGAGGGGACACCGTGTCTCAGGACGGGGAGAGAACGCGGTGTCTCAGGACAGGGGAGGGGACCTGGAGTCCCAGGACAGAGGAGGGGACATGGTATCTCGGGACGGGGATGGGACGCAGTGTCTCAGGATGGGAAGGGAAAGGCCCTGGTGGTCCCGTGGGGCCCCAGTGGACTTGTGGTTCAACGGGCAGGCCATGCAGGGAGGAAGACCTCCAGGATCCACGTGTGAGCTGGCTGGTGCCCAGCCTGATGTGGAGAAGCACGTCACAGTCCCCCAGCCCGTGCAGCCCTCCCAGCAGTGGTCAGTACCAGGATGGAGCACCTCCTCCTGGCCATCACCTCAAAGACAGTCACCACGGAGATGAACTGGCCAGCCTGATTCCTGAGCCTCCTGCACGGACGCCGCCCTCGTCGTCGGGTTCCACTCCCACCGGCATCCCGGCCCCCCGAGGGTCCTTCCTGCACCTACAATCAGAAAGTGGGATGTGAAGAGCCGGGAAACGCTGACAGCCGGAGGCCAGACGAACGACGGGACCCCGGCAGCGCAGGACGAAGGCAGCACGGCCAGCAAGTGACTGCTCCAAACGCAGTCACCACCAGGGGCCCGAGGCGAGGAGGATGGCGTCCCACATCACCCACGGCTACTGCAGAACAGAGGCCCCGGCAGGACCTTCCGGGGCTCACCAGGTCCTCAGCCGAGCGCTCACACACCGCACCGGCCTCCCCTGCACCTGCATCCCCATCCATGTCCCTGCCCAAGTCCCCACCCTGACACACCCAGTCCACGTGCTGCAACCATGGCCACGGACCACCAGTGTCCAGGGGACAGAAAGCCATTGTGAAGCCAATCCCAAGGGCTGTGTCTCAGGGCTATGTGGTATCCATCACCTGCCCCCCACCCCCAATCAGAGCCCAGAATGGAGATGGGGAGTTCAGGCCAGTGACCGGCAAGGTTGGGGGAAGTCAGTCCCCCGGGACAGGTGACCAGCTCTGCCTGTCCTTAGTGGTGGGTGGTGCCCCGGGGCTCATCAGAAGCAGGATTGAAACCACCACAGCCTCGAGGGGCACAAGGAGGGTAGCCCAAAACCAGGGATCAAAGGTATACACAGCCGAACAAGGGGGCACGAGAGAACCCGGAGTCATGTGCAAAGAAGGTGGAACCCAGAATCACTGAGACAGTGAAACCCGGGGGGCCTTGGCAGAACCTGAGGCCACATACGCAGACAGTGGAACCTGAGGATCACTCAAGAGCACTCGGCCCAGGAGCAGCGTGACCTTCCCTAGTGGGCCGCGGCTACTTCAGGAGGACCAGCAACGGACCCCGTGAGAGACCAGGGCTATACCTCCCCAGACCCTAGGCTCCCCTGTCCACTAAAGTACGACCCACCCAGGGCATGCTGACACTGTGAACCCTCGAGGGCCATGGAGGGTGTGCAGGACAAGCGCCCATGCAGCACTGCACCCCTACACCGTGGGCCTCTATGACACCGTCTTCATCACCGAGAACACGCTAGGCCAGGCTGGCTCACTGCCACTGAGAACGCCACAGCAACACACACCTGGTCCCACGCGGAGGAGCTGCACACGGACACGTGTGCCACTAAAGACCTTGCCTCAGGAACGTGCTCTCACGCGTCTTCAGGAAGACAGAATCGCAAATGTACACGTACACACAGAGAGACAGCAAGAGAACACACGCACAGCGTGATACTAACGTGAGGCATCGGCGCAAAAGGAGAACACTCACTGTGTCCTGTTTTTGCAAACTCTCTTGTCAGTCTGTAACAATTTCAGGTAAGAAAGTCTGAAGTTTGGCTCTCGGTACCTGTCATCCCCGGGACGTTGCATGAACTGGTTTATTCTTTACTTCGCCTTGAAATATCTACACTGCTCCCTGTTTCCTATCCTACATGATGCTGCAGAAAATGCCTTTCATCATTTCAGATTTTAGCCCATTCTCGGGTGCTAATGAGACAAGTAGAGATCGCAGGTACAAATTGCTCCGTGTGGCGAGCAGCACCTCCTGAGGCAGTAAGAAGCGCTGGGCAAGAGTCTCCTTCCCTATGCAGGGCGGGTGTTTCTTCCACACCTGCATCCACACGGGGCCCAGAATGGGGCAGGGCTGACTACTACGATCCCGCAATATTTTGGAAATGCGACTCTGTGGAACAAACAGGACAAGAAGACAAAAGTCATCACATCGGGAAAGAAGGCATAAAATTAGCTCTGTTTGAGGATGACACCAGTGGTATACAGGAAATCCCAACAGATGTACCAAACTATCTCCTCAAACTCAAAAGTGAATTAATAAGCAAGGCCACAGAATACAAGGTCCGTGTAACAAAATCAATCTTATGTCTATAAACAAGCGATGAAAAACTGGACATGGACAGTAAAAAAAACCAAAACCCATACCGATCACAATGGCTCCTCAGAAATGAAAAAGATATCAATCTAACAAAATACGTGTAGGGTCTGCATACTGAAAACTAAAAAAAAAAAAAAAAAAAAAAAATCAAATAAGACCTTCAGAAACACTGAGCTATACCATGTTCATGGAATGAAAGGGAGACTTCGGACCATGCTAGAACAGCGGGGACTTCCATACCCCACTCTCTGTAAGGGACAGAAGAACCAGAAAGAAGATGCGTGAGCACAAAAAGGATATAACAAACCAACTAGGACACGGTTACGGAACCCTCCGCCAGCAACGGCACACGTCTTCCACTAGTGAGCACTCAGAACACTCCCCAGAACAGGCCACACACGAGCCCACAAAGTCTTCACAGATTTCACAGTATCTCCTCTGACGACAGTGGTCTGAAGTTAGAAATCAGTAACAGTCCAAAAACTGGAAAACTCATAAAACTGTGGAAGTTAAAACACATACCCTGAAAGAATGAGTGGATCTAGGGCACCTGATGGCTCAGTCAGTTAAGTCTGCCTTTGGCTCAGGTCATGATCCCGGAGTCGTGGGATCGAGCCCCATGCTGGGGTCCCTGCTTACTGGGGAGTCTGTTTCATCCTTTTCTTCTGTCCCTCCGCCTGCTCCTTCTCTCTCTCTCTCCCCCTCCCTCTCAGATAAGTAAATAAATAAGTAAAATGTCTTTTTAAAAAGAACTAGTGGGTCAGAGAAGAAATCGAAGGGGCAATTAAAAAATACTTAGGGACAAATAAGAGTGAAAACAGAATGTAAGTAAAAGTCAAGCAGTGCTCATGGGACATCCGCAGCTGTAAGTGCTGACCCTGAAATCAAGACAGATCCCAGACCAAGTTTACACCTCGAGGACCAAGCAAAAGGATAGACTGAACCCAAAGCTAGCAGAGGGAAAGGAGTCAGAAACAACGAGAGCTGAGATCAACACAACAGATAATAGAAAGCCGAGAAAACCAACGCAACTCGAAGTTGGTTCTTCTGAAACGTAACAGAATTAAGAAAACTTTAGCTTAGATGGACTACGGACAAAAGAGGGAGGACGCTTACTATGGAAATGAGAAACGAGAGTGGGGGCATTTCTACAGATTCCACAGGAATGGGGTTAGAAGACAGTCCTGCGGCCAACTGCAGACTGAGAAACGGGACAGCCGACATGAAACGGACAACTCTCCAGAAACACAAACCCTGGCAAGAGGAAGTCGGACACAAGTAGGAAATCTGAACACCCCCGTACCTAGGAGGAGACTGCATCAGTCGTCAAAATCTCCTGAGAAGCCCTGAACATGCGCTGACAGAGGAATTCTGCCATTTTAATGCTACCATTTTGTCGACCCCATTTTCAGGGGAACTCATCCCAACGCTTCTCAAACTCTTCCAAACACTGAGGCGGAGCGACCACTTCCCAACTCATCCCAGGAAGCCAGCAATTCCCTGGTCCCAGAGCCAGAGAGAGACCGTACAAGGAAACTACAGACAACGTCCCTCATGGACACGGATGCGAAAACCGTCAACAGAACACCAGCAACGGAACTCAGCGGCATGTTCGGAGAGGGCCCGCCACGACCAACCGGGACGTCCTTCTGGACCGGAAGATTGCTTCCATACACGAAACCGGTCCGCAGAGGCCACCACATTAACAGAATTAAGGAAAAATATCACACGACCAACTCGAGTGATTCAGAAAGGTGCACAGAATTCAACGGCCTTTCGTGATTCACACGCCCAAGAAGCAGCGGAGAAGAGGAGGAGCCATCCGTGCAACCGAAGCAGCCATCGATGAGAAGCCCACCGTGAAAACCGTGCTCCAGGGTGAGCGGCGGGAAGGAGTTTCTGCAAGAGGATGAACAAGGAAGCACGTTCACTGGTGCACTTCTACGGTACGCAGCAGGGCAACGGAGAGGCAGGGACACGGGCAAGATGGAAAGAGAGAAGACCGTGCAAACTGGACTGGAAAGAGTCACACTACTTTGCAGGTGCTGTACTTTTGCATGCAGAATCCTAACAATTCTAGCCGCGCGCACACGCACAGACGGGGGGACCAATACGCATAAAGTGGCAGGAGGCTACGTCAACGCCTCGCAATCAGCTGCGAGTCCACATCCGTCGTGAGCAACCTGGAAAGGCAGGGACAAAAGCGATTCCACTGACGGTGGCATCACGCACACTAAAATACGTAGGGACTGACTTAACCCAGACGGCCAAAGACGCAGGTAACGAGAAGTACGACGCGCAGCGGGAAGAATTCAAGACGACACAGGTCCACGGGAGACATCCCATGTTCATGGACAGGAACACGCCCGAGCAGTAAAACGTGAACACAGCCCCGCGTCACCTACAGAGTCAGCAAGATCCCAACGGACTCCTCGGCACGCGCTCTTCTAGAATGAGCAAGCTGGCTCTAAAATTTGCACGGGAAGGAAGTGAACGAGGACCGTCAACTCCGTTTTCAAAGACCACGAAGCTGCAGCGTCCACACGATCGAACTCCAAACCTGCGTCCGAAGCTACAGTGCTGGAGACTGCATACTACTGGCAAAAGCACGGTCCCACGGATCAGGGGAATGGGACAGAGGCCAGAAGCAGCACCCCATAAACAAGGTCCAGCTGCATTTTTCTAAAATTGCAAAACAGGGGCGCCTTGGTGGCTCCGTCTTGTCAAGCGTCTGCCTGCAGCTCGGGTCAAGATCCCAGGGTCCTGGGATGGAGTCCTGCGTCGGGCTCCCTTATCGGCAGGAGGCCTGTCTGGTCCCTGTCCTGCTGCCCCTGCTTGTGCTCTCTCTCTCGCTGTGTCTCTGTCAAATAAATAAACAAAGTTTAAAAAAAATGAAATAAAATAAAAACAAATCTGAGGGATAGACTATAATGTGCTCAAAAACAGTAGCGAACAGGGGCGCCTGGGTGGCTCAGTGAGTTAAGCCTCTGCCTTCGGCTCAGGTTATGGTCCCAGGGTCCTGGGATCGAGCCCCGCATTGGGCTCTCTGCTCAGTGGGGAGCCTGCTTCTCCCTCTCCCAGTCCCCCTGCTTCTGTTCCTTTTCTCGCTGTATCTCTCTGTCAAATAAAGAAAATCTTTAAAGCAATAAAAAATAGTAATAATGAAAAGTAAAAGGACAAATAAAAGGCACGACTGACAGAATAAAGGGACCCTCGCTGGCTCAGCAGGTTAAGCGTCTGCCTTGGGCTCAGGTCACGACGCCAGAGTCTTGGGATCGAGCCCAGCGTCAGGCTGTCCGCTCGGGGAGCCTGCTTCTCCCTCTGCCTTTGCCCCCCCCCCCCCGGCTTGTTCTCACTCGCTGACTCTGTCCCAAATGAATAAAGGAAATCTTTTTAAGAAAACCAGAATTGAAAGACATGCCGCTGTCTGGTAGCAAATGCTCGCCAAGTACGTCATCATTAAAGGACTTTTACCGATGTTTTACAAATAACTCTTGAAACTCCACAAGAAAACAAAGAAGCCAATAAAAATGAGCCACGGAAGAGTGCAAGGACTCCTCCCCAGAAAACCTGTGCGGAAGGGACCGTCCGCCCACGGGAAGGGGCGCCCCTGGGAAGGGGCTCAGGTCCCCGGCCTGAGGCAGATGCGGGCGGAAACCAGCACCGGGAGATCAGCGAAGATGGAACATGCTGACGGCTGCTGGGGGGCAGGTGGGGCTCTGCTACGGGCCCCCACGATGTGGGGCGGTGACCCGGGGAAGGCAGCGTGGCGGTCTCCTGCCACGTCACAGCCGTGTGCACCCGCCGCTGCACTGGCCCGAGAGGAACACAGGCAAGTCTCCGCACGGAGCTCTGGGCACGGGTGATCCTGCTGCTCTATCCGGGACACCCAACCCTACAAACAACCCAGAGGTGCCATCCACGGCAGACAGACAAACCGGGGTCGATCCCCAGGTGGGACAGCCGCTCCGTAACACAGGAAGGAACGACGGAGATGTTCCAACACGGCTAAATGCAAAAACACTTCGCTACGCCGAGGGAATGAATCCCGACCCAGAAAGGCGATGGACAGAGAGACGCCGTCGTGTAGGAAGGCACAGGTACACAGAGCCAGGAATGGCACACAGCGTCACGGCCGGGGACAGCGCAGATCGGGGTGGCCGGGGGCCGTGGGGATACGCCATGAGGGAGGCAGAATTACCAAGGCTACGGGATTTCGGGGGACGGCGGCCGTGGTCATCTCCCCGACCGTAGGAACAGTGTCCGCGTGGCTCAACGTCCCCGTGGAGGGGGACACAGCAGATCAAGGGACAACGGGGCTGACAGTAGCCCGAGAAGCGAGATCCGTGCCTGGGAGCAGCAAAGAGGCGTCAGTCCCTAGAGACTCGCCCTGGGGACACAGCTCTGGGCGAAGCTGCAGGCCCCGCCCCGCATTGCCCCAGACGCTCACCACCCCTACGGACACGGGACCTCGGAGCCCGGGGGCTGCAGGCTCAGCCACGGCCCCCCCGGGCTACAGCACGGACGTGCAGGTCCTCACAAATTCGGCGGCCACGCAGTTGCCGTCCCCACCGCAGAGCCCGTGGACCCCCCAGGTGAGCGTCGGGGCTGCTGTTCATCCCTGTCCCTCTGAAGTCAGGAGGGGCGGGGAGACTCCCTAAAACAAGAAGACTGGACAAACGGACAGCTGGGTCTTCCCAGGGACCGCCGGACGGTCAGACGGTCAGGCACTCCCACCTCCTCCCGTGTTCCTGTCCCCACCTTCTCGTCCACAAGAAGACAGCCCTGCCCTTCCCTCGGAGGGGAGCATACACGTTGGGCCCGAGTCCCCACCTGTGCGGGAGCTCCCCAAGCAGGAGCACTTACCGACACGCGGTCCCGGCCACCGCCACCGCCGCCTGACACGGCTTTCGCCCCCGCTCGGCCAGACCTTCCGCTGAGACACAAGAAAAGTCAGATCGCGGCGGGAAGCTGGGGGTCTCCAAGCCACCCCCGACGCCCCCATCCCTCTCCGGGTCCACACGCTTCCAAACACGGGGACGGCAGGCACGACGTGCACCACGCGACGTGTAGGAACAGTGGCCAGCGGAGGGAAGGCGGCAACGAGCCCCAGACAGTGCCCAGGGACGGGGAGTGGCTTGGCTCACGGGAGGCGCGAGCTCCAAGGGCTCCGTTTCTGCAAGGGGGGGGTCTGTCCTATACCCCCGGCGCTCCCTGACTCTAAGTGAGTGTGCGTGGCTCGGGGTGTCTCACGGCAGGAGACGCCTCCCACGCCATCCACGACGCGTCTTACAAACCACGGACACTTAGCAGGGCCGACGATGGAAGACTTCCCACGCCCAGCGAAAACACGAGGGGCCCTGCCCGCCCGTCCTCCGCGCAGGGCTCCCCTACCCCCGGCACCCCTCCCCATCTTCCCTCGGCCCGGTGGGCAGCATAAACAGGAGACGCCGGGGACTGTGTCCGGAGAGCGCTGCTTCCGCAGGAAGGTGAGGGGGAGGACGCCCAGCTCACCCGGGAGGAAAGCCCGCACCCCCTCCGCAGCCACAAGACACACCGACCATAGTAAAGCCGTGAAAAAAATGCGTTACCTCATTATCCGCCGTTAATCCTCGCCGCGTCCCTCCCCCACCCACCCCTAGAAAGCGCTGGGAAGGCAGGCTCCGCGGGGGGGGGGCGTGCGGTGCAGTGCGGGGATCCGGGTGCAGGGATCCGGGTGCCGGGGATCCAGCTGGGACGGCAAGCAGAGGAGAGCAGGGAGGGCCGTGTGCCGCGGAGAGCCCCACGCAGCCCTGCAAATGTGAGCTGGGCAGCTCCTCTCCTCCAGAGCACGGGGCCTGCAGGAGTGGACCTGCCCACATCCAACGCCAGGTGGCGCAGAAGGACCACGCCGGGCGGCCGCGTGAGGTCCTGCCCGCCTCTCCCTGCACAGGGGCGCCCCCCCAGCATCTCAGACCCAAGCCCTCCAAAGACACGCTCCAGGGACAGAAGACCCCGGGTATTCCCGTGGACTCCCTCATCCACACCCCCTGTGCCTGGCGGTCTCCAGCCGTGGGACGGAGGAGCGGGACGAGGGGGCGGGGGAGGAACAAAGAGCCACACACGCAGCCCACGAGCCACACACTTGTGCACTCATTAGGGCAACTTTGAATCCACACCCCGGGAGATGGCGTCCAGGAACCAGGGCCGGCCTGGGGCTTCCGGAGCGACCCGGAGTCCACAGTCTGCGTCTGCCCGTCGTGTCGCACACCAGGGCCCCATCTGCATTTCACTCTGCTCCCCGTGGTCCCTTGGCTGGGCCATCTCCGGCCACCTCGACGCAGCACACCCACTCCCACATCACCACCCACGGGCTCTTCCAGGCTACGTCCCCCCGTCGTCCTCTCCCGCCCTGCCGGGATGGGAACCAGGACCCCTGCCATCGTCTCCCCAAACTTCAGATGCTACAGACTCCACACACACTCAAAAGGAACATTTCCACGTTCCGGAGGAACGAGAACCCCCTGGTGACCGCCTGCCCCAAGCTGCTTGGGTTTTTCCCGGTTACGGAATGGATCCCCGTCTGAACAGGATGGGAACCCTCTGGAGCCAGGCCGCCCGTCACCCTTGGCCGGACCCGGGGACTGTGCAACCCTGCCCACACCACATTCACTCCGGAGGCTCTGATTCCCAAGCACTCCTGGGACCCCCCAGGGCCACCCGCGGGCGACCAGCTCAGCTTTCAGAATCTGCCCAGGCCAGTCAGGCCCCCAGCCAGCCCGGGGAAGCCCAAAGTCAGCATCCCACGCCCACGGCGCGCTCGGAGACCCTACCCCTCAAGCACTGAGCAACTCCGTCCTGCCAGGCAAACTTCCAGACTCCGAAGTCCCGCCTACCGCCCCCAAGGCAGGCTTCTGGACCCCCAGGGATGGGACAGGCAGGACTCCCAAGGCAGGGCTCAGGACTCCCGGTGCTCCGCTTGCCCCCTCCCCCACAAGGCAGGGTCTGGAGCCCCTGGCCCCCACCCCGGGCTATCAACCCAGACTTTGGAACCCCTGGGGCCGGACAAGAATCTCCAAGGCAGAGTTCGGGCCCCCCACGGCTGGTTCGAACCCCAGAACCCGAACCTCTGTGCCACACTTGGACGACCAACACAGACTTCACGACACCCACCCGACCCCCGCTGAATTCGGAACCTCCAAGCCGTGTTCAGGAACCCCCCCCCCCACTCCCCGGGCAGGCTCCATACCCTACTGCAGACTTCAGGACCCCTCGGAACAGCTCCGACACCCCCAAGGAAGTGGCTGGGATCCCCAGAGCCACACTCGCAGCCCCAAGGCAGTATATGGGATCCCCTGGAGGGATCTGCAGGGCAGCACTCACCCCTCAGGTAAAGTTCGAGACCCCTTGGGCAGCCCTCAGACCTCCACCCAGGGTTCAAGACCCCGGGGCAGCACTCGGACCCCACGGCAGCAGACCTCCACACAGAGCTCTGACCCCGGGGGCAACAGTCGGACCACCCACAGCAGAGGACCCTTGGGGCAGCACTCGGACCCCCACGCAGGGCTCTGACTCCTGGGGCAGCACTCGGACCCCTACGACAGTGTTCTGACCCCCGGGGCAGCACTCGGACCCCCACGACAGTGTTCTGACCCCCGGGG